CCGCCGCGTACCATAAGAACGCCGAAGGTCTCCTTTCGCGTTCCTCAGGAACGCCGCGGGACGTGACAAAACGTCGACATGTTACGCCTCGGGAGTGAGAACGCTCTGGCCATTGTTGTACATGACTGTAGTGGAGTCTAGTAGAAACTGTCTGGTGGTGATTACATCATCTATACTTTGGCTTTCTAACCTACCGTTTCAGCGTCTCAAAGATATTTCTGGCATTCAGAGGAAAAACACGTCAAGTATGTAGTGACTGTCATCATCACCTTTGAATCTGATGACAGTCAATGTGACACTTTGCTCCTCTTTACTTCCTTTTCCTCACCATCACCAGCGAGTTCTTCTGAATGTGATTCATGTTGGTCTTGTTTGCGTCATCCCTTTGATCTAATTTCTTTGTTTCTGTATGCATCTCTGCCTGTGCACATTTTTGTTCTTATATAGACCGTCTTGCAGTCTTGCCGATGCAAGACAGTCCTACCTAATGCAAATGCAATGGATTTGCTGTCATGCCAAAAAGAAGTGCAACCCTGCTGAGAATAGAGCAAATCCAAGCTGTGGTCATACCAGACATTGTAGCACTGGAACAAGCTGTCAGGATACTGGGACTGGTAGGGCTCCTGGCTCTCAATGGTCCCAAACCACCAGGCATCATCGATCACTGACCGAAACCTGTCACCTATGGAGACATCACATTACTACAGAGAACTCTGCAAAAAAGAAAATGAATGTCATATACGATATCATTTATATTTGAGTGAAGTCGCACTGCAAAGGTAAAACTGACCTATGCGCCACTGCCTTTTTCTGGCGTTGTCAAACTGCTGCCGCAACACCAAGAAGTCGATTACATCAGGCATGTCGTGGTACCTGCAAGTAGTCAAGAGATTTGTAGTAGCGGTTCACTTCTGTATGCATAAAGTATATGCTATCTGCTGTCAGGAAATATTACTGCAGTCAGTGTTTTTATCAATAACCTCTTGTCTTGTGTAAAGATATGAAACCTTGCTGAAATGTGAGTTTTATAACTGCCATGTTGCAAAGTTGAAGAGAGACCATATAACATGATATAAGACAAGAGTCCCGTAGTGTTTTAGAACAATTAATGACGTCGGCTCATCTTAAAAGCTGATAAATGTTTGGCATATATTGCAGTCTGTTTAAACTCTTTTACAACAGCAGTTATTCCACAGATGATTTTAGCCAGAGCCAAAGAAAAACTATCAGTATTTATAAAACAGCACACACATTTTTGTTTCTCAACTCAGAAATGAACTTTTCTACTTCTTAAAAGTATCAACCAAATTAGTACTGCAGAGTACTGATTTGCATGCAATCAGCTGGTGCCAAATTCGGGTATTAGAACACATCTGGACGAAAGGAAGATGAAGAGCGAGTGAGACCATGTGCCGTTAATTCAGTTATGTGTCAACAATCACACAGGCCAATGGCAGCAGCGGTGTGCAAAAAGCAGCCTTGGGTGGGGCTACGCTTTTCAAAACGCAAAGCAGGCGACACAAAGCTGGCCGTGACAACACATCTAATCTGGGGAAGCACCTTGTCAGACTCAACAATACATCTAAAAGCTGTGGCGTGTTTGACATCTTGAAAGCCAAATACACCAGAGGTCTGTCGCCAACATATGAGCCACTGAACCCACGGATGATGGTCGGGACCCTACATCTTCTTCAGATAATTAGGTAGCTGGATAAAAATGTTTTATGTATTATTTTACAAAAAGCTGTACTGGAAAAAGGTATAACTGGGAAACAGTCCCAAATTCCCCAAACACCGGCTCTGGTACCAGCATTGTTTCAAACGTGAAAGGTACCAAACCCTATTGTTAGGGTAACTAAGTAAGATAACAGAGTTGCATTCTGACTTGCAGTCAGAGGCCAGATATGAGTCAGGAAAAACCCTGTACTCTTATGTGGAGGCAGAGAGAGACACTTACTTCATAGAGAAAGATCCCCCGGTTAATTTTCCAGTGTCTGGGTCCAGAAACGCCAACTTCAGGCAGCACAGCGTGGGCAAACCCACCTCATACTTGATGCCAACTATCTTCATCAACTCCTGCTCCTAAATGCCACAAAAAAGACATAACGAGCATGTTTGAGTTCTCAAGACAAAAAAATAAAGCAAACCATCCTGAAAGTCTCGATTAATGATTCCTCTTTCAGTTATTTCTTGTTCTTTCCTACAGGAAAGCCCCAAGTCAAGTGTTTGGTGTTTTTTTGTTTGTGTGTAGGGTGTAGGTTTGTTTCCAGCTGAGAAAAAGTGAAACTTAAAGATAGAAGTCTGGCTGTACAAAATACTAAGAGAAAATAAAAAGACGTCGTAGAAGAAAACGCTGCATTTCATACACTACAAGCAGCACATTCACAAGGAAGCACACTGTGCCCGCAATGCATTATGTTCTGCTGTCTGCACAGGAATTGCTATTTCAGCTTCCTCACGCAGAAGGACAGAAAAAAAATGAAATGTATACCAAATATAAAATGCAATCCTATAAACTGTTGCTCTCAAGTGTTAAAGTGTCTGAAGTTGGTGGCTTTTTTTCATTCTTCCGTAGACAGCTCCATATGCAGTTTCATAACCTTTTTTTTATGCTCGGTAGACATTTGTCTTTCGGTAGAGAGACGTTTTTAGGAAAGAAAAAATAAGATTAAACTAGGAGTGTGAAACCAGACGTGTGGCGGAGATAAAGAAGCCACACCGGTGAAAGGTTTGCAGCAAAAATCCTGTCGACTTTTGCATTGCAACAAAACAGCAGTTAATGATTACGCTAACATGTGCGTGAATCCCTGGGTCCTGCTATGTATTCCTAGGACAGTGTCATTTTTTATTTATTTATTTGCCTTATTTTGTTTTAATCGTGTCCCGTCTGGCAGCTTTTGCAATCACAAATAGGAGCTGAGCGACTGTCGTGCCAAACGCATTTTGCTTTTCCAAGATCAGCTCTATAAAGTCTCTATAGGATCTTCTTGTTCAGGGTTTAACTGTTTATTTCTTCATTTCTATTCATGTTATTTCAGTTATTACATTCAATGGGGTATACAGTATGACACGGGTAACAAATCAACACTCTTCTAGTGGTGTGTGTGTGAGAGTGTGAGAGAGAAAGAGAGAGAGTGTCAAGTGTGAGTGTGTTTGTGTGTTTTTGTCACCAAATGTACTTGAAAATGAGGGTGGAAAGCTGCAATGATGGCCCTCAAGAGCCCAGGCAGACAGAGATGGATCTGGGAAAACTGGGTAATCCCCATCCCTGCAGGACAAGAAGGGAGGGCCTAGATGGGGCGCCCAAAGCCAAGGGGCGCGAGTCCCAGATGACCAGAGGCAGCGGGCGGCCGACTCCACTAGAGGCCAGTCATACTGGCGTGAGCCGAGATCAGGGCTCCATGCGCCAAAGAACCACCCGGCAGATCGCGGACCACCAAGGAAGTGGGTCAACGACCACGCCAGAACATCCAGCCACGCGCACCAACAAATATCCACATCCCAGTGGGAGGGGGTAGCAGGGTGAACCCCTCCCTACACGACCATGTCCCACACGGACCAAAGCTCAGCAAGCCCACAGCGTCTTTTTTAAAAATTTCTCATGGGCTCGCCTTTTTACCTTTGGATGTCTACATTCTTAAAAGAGAAATGTCACTGAAAATATGACACCTTCAAAATGTCAGTGAAGCCAGGATATAACTGCAGTTCACTGCATATTTAGGAGAGAGGCAGCGCTTTTCAGAGAAACGCTGCTTTGGTTCGGATTTTACTGTCAAACTGTTTCTTACCCGGAGCTCCATCTTGTGCCACGGCTGCTTCTTAGGATTGATGCTGTAAATTTTTTTCTGTTTGGCCATCTCCACGTAAGCTTCATGGCCCTGTCTGAAGTAGTACACCTGCACACACACACACACACACATATGCAAAAGAATTAACGGCTTTAACTGCACTTGTAAATTCCTTTGGTGCGCGTTTGCAATGTAATTACAACGACATGGCATAACTGCTCGAGATGTGCCCTTTTGTTTTCATGGGTGTAATGACCGTTAATGCCACATGAGGTCTCCGACTTGTGATGCAGACTTTAGTCCTTGTTGCCATGTAAAACATGACCCTGTGTTTTGGTGTGAGCAGACATGTGGTGAAGATGCGGTCGGCGTGTACCTCGTCGCCCATCTGGGGTATGTAAGGACATCTCCGGGGGACCGTGTCCGTGATCCAGGCAGAGGGAAGCCATTCCTCCAGAGTTAGCCCTTGCTCCTGAAACTGCGTCCTCTGCAAGATGCACAGCAGAACAAATATGACACATACACTGCTTATAATCCGGCGTGAAGCAAAAGACCTGACTGAATTAAGTTAGTTCATTCGTCAGCTTCAAATAACTTCGGAGAAGGAAAATGCAGTTCATTACTGATAACAAACCTTCCTCTTCTCCTTTGGCTTCTTCTTCTTTGGTAATGCGCCATCTTTATCTGCTTTGTCTTTCTTCCTTTCCTTCTTCCCCTCCCTCTTCTTCTCCCCGTCCTCCTCTGAGCCGCTGCTTTTCTTCTTCACTTTAACGCTCTTCTTGGGCGGTTCAAGGTTGATCCCGGCATCGGCTGTCCAGTCCGAATAATCGCTGGAGTAATCGCTGCAAATACATCACGGGGCCGAGATTAAACACACAGATGTGCGGCGTCTGCTCGTGCCGCGTTCTGATTTGCATTTAGTGTGCGAACGCATCGTCGGGAGATGAGTGACGTGATAAATTGGAGATGCGCTCGGTGTTTCTTACCTCGAACTACTATGCTCATCTGGCCAGGGCTCCTTCTCCTCTTCATCCTTCTCCTCCTCTGAGGAGTGCCCGTTGATTTGCCGTACCTCCACCTCTCCCTGAAAACACATACAAAATTAAATTAGGACACAAAAGCAAATGGACAAAAAAAAGACAAAGAAAGACAAAAATCATTATAATAAAATGTAAAATCCTCAGAACATCAAAACTTAAAACTATTCACTAAATTCGTAACAATGCAGTATGAATATGTACCTCTGAGGTGCTATCATCCTCATCTGCAGCCTCAGCACTCTGCCGACTTGTCTCCTCCATAGCAGCGCGGGTTTGATAGCCATGGTTACCTTGGCTCCTCCTCGCTTCATCTACCACACACTCTGATGTCGGATGAACCTGGAAAAGCAAAGAACGGAGCTGAGTGTAACCAAAGTCCTGCGTTTGAGACATTTCTGGTTAAGAAATTAAAAAATTAAAAGAAAAAATCATAATAAAACAGCCATAATCTAGTCGAACAGCTATGCTCATGAACTCACCCTGCTCTCCTTGGGGAGAGAGTGGAGAGTACGTCTTCTCCTTTCTGACTGATAAATATTGATCTCTTCCTCTCCTTTAGCTTCACGCCAGTTCACTTGTCTCCTGCACACACACAGATCACGAGGTTCGTCATATTTAGGAGATCCTGTGCCCCAGAGAATGTGAGAACGTGTTTGTGTACATATCTGTTTCAGGAGTTACCTGACAGAGGCTTCTTCGAGCTCAGGGACCAGCACCCTGCGGCTCCAGGCTACCAGATCTCCCTCTGTGGCCATTTGGCTGCGAGGGGCGTTGCTGTGCATCTGGCGGACCCCCTCGATCTGCCCGCTGCGCCGTAGACCCACGTTGGGCGGGGAGTGCACCTCAGTGGGAGATCCCACAGATCCTGAGGGGGTGGGGGAGGAGAGATAGGGTTTCACTTAAACTGTTGGGGAACTGTTGCACAGCACTAAATAAATGATGAGCCCGCTAGCAAAATCTCAGAATTATTTCCAGTAGACCTTCTGTTAAGGTGTGACATATGGGACACTTCAGTGCATCACAGTAGAAAACTTTGATATAAAATGAGAAAGTAATGAGAAATAAATTGGAAAAATCTGTAACTAGAAATTATTTGAATTATCAATAATAATAATTAAATCTGAGATTCTGAATTTTAAAAAATAAATGAAACTCATTGATTACATAAAACCCACAGAATTATCTGCAGTTTTCTTCCAAAACCAAAAGTTTAAAGCTCAAGTTCATGTTTTTCTTATTTAAATTATTTTTTAAAAAAAGAACAATTTTCCATTTATTTTATCTCCCGTGATTAATCGACTAATCACCAAGGACTCAAACACAATTGGTTTGCATAGGTAAGAAACAGGAGTTTAAAAAATACTTTTTTAAAACGTGACTTCAAATAGTAGAGAGTCGATTATTAAGTATTTTAGGAGCCCATCAGCTAATCTGCTGACTCTGGGGACATAACACAGGGGCTCAGGTGCAGCCAGTAGATATACAGGCTGAGACTTCCTGTGTCATCGACCAGTCACTGCTTAAGAATGCAAATAAATTTAATGCAGCTAGTAAAAAGCTTAATTGTCTTCAGCTGATGGTTTTGAGACTGAACATTTTTTTTGTCTCCACACTAGCCGTTTACCAGCATGTACCCATGATGTCTGATGTCACTGGTCAATAAAACCAACACCACAAATGGAAGCTGGGACAAGCTTTGTCTACAGATGTCTTCATCTTTACATGCAGATATCAGTTATTAAGCCACCGACTGATGGAATCTATAAAGGGAAAAAAGTGTTCTTTCATAATGCAGTTGGCTCACACTCTATTTTCATGTGCTACCACGGAGCACCAGAGCTGAGGACACAAATAGTTCTGATCTTCTGTACTCGTCACTCTGAGAATTAATTGACCAAATAAAAAATCATATCCCACAAACACACATTACCTACTCTCAGTGTGCTCTGTGAAAACAGGCTCCCTGCATTCACTAACTCTTTGAATCAGGGGGGGTTTATTACATTTCCTGTTTAAAATTCCACTGAGACACTTATTTACATAATTGCAGTTGTTGCAAATTATGCATTATTTCATTGAATAGTAATAAAAAAAAACTCTCTTCACGATCCACGAATCACGTTGTCAACCTAAAGGTCTGAGAAAACATAAATAGTGGCTGTAATACATGTGCTGTTAATTCTACGAATTAATCAATCGCAGCAAACACGTCTGCTTCAAGTGTAAGATGATGCTCCAACATATTAGTGCTGCTATGGATAGATGTGAATAATGACTGGAATCCAGGAAAATGAGAACAAAAGAAATTTGGGTGGGGAATGAATCAGAATAAACAGTCAGCATCGCTTTAATGTCATGACTCCTACCTCTGCTGGACCTGGTGTTTGAGGCAGCAGCAGAGATGTCATTGGTTCCCAGTCTTTGGTCCTGTTCCTGCTGCAGCCTCTGAATCATGGTGTCCAGAGGACTGGGACCATCCACCGCCTGTTCACTCACCACTTGATTCAGGCCTGCCAGGAATAGCGCAAAAGTGAGAGAGAGAATTAAAAAAATGAGCTTAAATCCAACCATTGTTACAGCCATGACGAATACAACTGCTGCCTAATAACTTAACTATCTCTGCTGTGCCTTACTAACACATTTCATTAACTGCTGATTGCTTCTGTTTATATCCCAGCCAACAGCCTTATGAACTCTAATCTTAATTGCCATTGCTACTGTAGTTTCAATAAAAGCCTCACATTGAGCTCATTTAAAGACAGATAAGATTATTGTCAGGCTATGACAGCACAGACAGATGGTCTCTGATAAGACAGAAGACAGCATCACCTCCAGGCAAATATCTAAAGCGCATAAGCAGAACTCCAAAGAAAGAGGTCTTATTTCAGCCTGAATACCTGAGGAAGTGACCCCCATCTGAGGAATAAGCTGCTCATCCCTGCAGTCCTCCCTTCCGGGCACCAGCCGCTGGTATCTTGGTGGATGTGGATTCCCATCCACATCCACCAGGAAGGGAGGGGGCATTAGGTGTGGAGCTTGCTGAGTTTGTTCGTCCAGCACGTAGTTATTGGCATCCCGGATCAGTGGCCGGTAGTCGGTATGGAAGAACATCTGATCTGCTATCTGAAACAGTTTTGAGGTTGAGAGGGTGCGGCGCTGTTGTTATTACTAATAACATGCGATGAGTTGTCGTGTATGTGCATAAATATTGCAGGTCAGTTTACCTTGTCGTACTTGCTGCTGGAGCCGAAGCCAAAGATGAGCAGGTGACCGTGGGAATCGGTGGCTGCAAAGTGCTGCCCATCTGGACTGCATTTGCAGTCGAACAGCGCTCCGTGCCCTTGGCCCTCAATCTATCAAGGGTGAGACAGAGTGGAGGGGAAATCTTAAAACTGCACTGTAGCTATTTGAACTGCATGGGCACAACCCACTATTAATGTCTTGTCAGCAAGCCAGCAGAATTGTCCAGAAAGAAATATGCACACAAAGAACAAACATCAAACAGTTTGTAGCACAACAGTAGCCTGTTTATGCAAACCGACAGGACACCTGCAGAAAGCAAAACTTCTTCAACAGGAAATCAGCAAGAAACCCCTGACTGCTCTGACCGTCAGCCAGCTGCTGCTTTTGGTTTGATCTGCGGGTTTTCCTTCATTCTCACAAAGGCTCCATTCAACTACAAGATGGAAATATGCCTTTATAGCTTCTCACACTTCTCATTCATGCAAAAGTGCCAAACTCAAACAGCACATAGACTACTCAGTTTTATACACCTTGCATGTGTTTTTGCCCAGCTGGATGACAGAGTTGTTGGAAATTAGCACCATAATTTTGCTACAATAGAAATACCGATTCAAAAGAATTCAAGCTTAAAAGTGAAACCAGGGCATCCTGTAAACAGCCTCTGCCGTCCTGCACTAGTGACATCGTTCAGAGAGTCTGTGCAGCAGGTATGGGCCTCAACAGCAACTTTGAAGCCGCGCGGTTTAGAGGGGACCTTGTTTCTGTGGGCTATGAGTGGGCTGTGTCCTCTGTTGGTGCTGGTAGTGGTCAGTGAAATTTGTTTTATCGAGTCCAAAGTCACCACAGGTGTGTACCAGGAGATTTTAGACCATTTCATGCTTCCACCCACTCACAAGCTTTATGTAGAGGGAGCTCTCCCTACCCCACAGCGCCCAAACGACTACCAGATGATTCGCTGACCATGTTATCACAATGTTATTACTGTGTGAAGGCCCCTATAACAGCAACCTGGGATTCAACAACACCTCAGCAGTGCCCGATCTGATCACCTCCATCCCAGCCCGCAGTGATGCAGTGATATGCAGGCAGCGAGTTTAAAAATGAACATACTCTCCAGAGGCTGGACCGATCTTCGGGGTTCAGACAGCTTTAAAAGCTACGTTATTTACATCACTGTGTAAAGTCAATGAGAGCTGATCTCTCTAATAGGGTCATCTCAGGCACTCGGCTCTGACAGTAAGCCACACCCACCTGCTGTTCACATTTTCTGCTTAAGAGGGGCAGCCAATTAAGAGCAAGGCATCTTAAAAGCAGAGGGAGGAGGGAGTTAACAGGGCTTGTTGCAGGCAGAGGATGAAGTGAGGGGGTGCACTAAGGCGCGGTGTAAGATAATTAAGGATTATGCAGTTCCCTGCCTGTGTGTCCTTTCTGCTTGTGCTAATCTTACTCTACATTCACCTTTACTCTTCAACCCTCTTTTGTGTTTTTTTCTGTCCACAGGGAGGTTTTCAAAGTTTGATCGGACCCAATGAAAAAACTGCTTCCTCCTTACACTGCTGTAGTAAAATTATTTTTCAAGGCATTGTTTTTTATGTTACTGCTGGGCATTTTTGACTTACGACTTTACTTTCCGTGTATCTATCGTCCCTATTGTTGTTCCTCCAACCAAAAGACCCATTCAAAGCTAGGAAAAACCCTGACAAGAGGACGCTTTTCAGGAGAAGTCTCACAGCAGGTTTCAGCCTGAAACTTGGGCCTTTTCACATGCACAAAGACTTTGTGTTGTTAAGCAACACTATTCACTGTCTATGACCAACACCAAGATTTGGCCAAATGACCAGCTCACTATGTGAGTCACATGTTCTGGGAATGTGGTTAATGCCGTCCTTGGTTACCATAGAAGCAGGAAGCAGGAAATACTACAATAATTAAAGCACTGGATAAATTTGTGGAGTGGCATATGTGATTCATTTTGATGAGAGAGCCACGAAGGCACGAAGGGAAGTGAGAACAGTAAAGAAAGCAGAGCGAGAAAGTGAAAGTATAGAGTTGGGAGAAGGTCAACAGCGGGTGAAAGTGAAATAAAGGGTGAGACGAGGAGGGGAATGGGAATAGAATGTGTGTAAGAGAAGCAGAAATATACCTGATAAAACCACATATCTATGCAGATAAACAGAGAAAATACAGTTAAAAAAAAGTGCAGGGAGAGGATCGAGATCTGGACACTTGTGAATGAAACAGAAGCGAGTGAAAGGCGATGACACGCGGGCGAGGAGACGTTCTGTGGACGAGACGCTCACCATGTTGAAATAGGAGCGGATCTTCACTCCTCTGGCTAGATCCCACACAATACAATTCCCATCATGCCCCGCTGAGAAAAGGATTCTCGGATCAAAGGGATGTGGCTCCAGAACAAACACTTCATCCTCGTGACCCTGTCGACCAACAACACGAACATCTAGGATTAGATTAAGAAATAAGAAAAGAGAAGCAACAGCCAAACCTGACTTCTTATGCTTAAGCCCACACACAGCTGAGCATATTTTGCATTCCTCTCACTGTCAGTGTGCAAACCCACATGCTTTTTAAGTTAACAAGTAAAAAAATTCATATTCATCTGTTTTTTGTTTGCTTTTTATATACACTGTTTTCAGGCAGCTATCAAATGTTCCAGTTTTATCACTGCGTCACCAAGGAGACTCTGACAGCGTGTTAGCAACTAGATTTCTGATCAAAAGATAAAGTAAAGATGATGAAAACAAGGCCAAGAGCTAAGTAGTGAAACAGCAGCAGCCTAAGATGACCCTAACAGCAACACCGTAATCTCCATAAAACCGCTCTTGACACGTCTACGTGACATTAAAGCTTGGTTGGCTTTAAACATTTTAAATTTTAATGAAAAGAAAACAGAGGTGTTGGTGTTTGGTGCTAGTGGTCCCTGTGAGTCCTCGTCTGTTGATTTGGGATGCCTGGACGTTTATTTTACATCTGTTATTACTGACCTTTGTCCAGCTGTTATCATTTAAGGCGACTGGCAAGAGTGAAATTTTCTTTCTAGGCAGCATTTGGAAACAGTGATCCATGCTTTTATTCCTTCCCGTCTGGACTACTCTAACTCACTTTACGTGGGTCAGTCAGTCGCTGCTCTCACTATGTCCTTTAGAGTTCATCTTAATATTCTTATGTTTGTTTTTAAACAATCACAATCTAGCCCCGCCTTACCTCTCTGAGTTTCTACGTCCCTACACACCCTGTCGGTCTCTTAGGTCAGCTAATCAGCTGCTCCTGAAAGTACCGAGATCCAAGAGGAAGCTCGGAGGGGGCGGGGCTTTTTCTATCATTGCTCCTAAATTATGGAATAACTTGCTCTTGCACGTTAGAGAGGCCCCTTCACTGTCCACTTTTAAAACACGTCTTAAAATCCATTTTTATTCTTTGGCTTTTGACCGTAGTGAGACTTAGTTTCTCTTGGAATTAAATTAGTTATTAACTAACTAATTAATTATTTTACTTTTTTCTTTTATTTGGCTTTTATTTATATCGTATGTAATTTTATTATTTAGTTCCAACGTACAGCATTTTCCGTCAGCTGTGGTTTGCTTTAAAGTGCTTTATAAATAAAGATGATGATGATGATGATTAAATAACCACCTGTTACAACCAAAAGGTTTTTCTCATGCACTTTGCCAATTCAGTTTTTATTTAGAATATTTTTACATCTTTCTCTGATATAGTGATGAATAATCTGAAGGACTAAAAAACTTATTAGCAAATAAATAAAAATGACATTTTGGCACACATCTGTACGTATCAGCGAACCAGAACAGAACTAACTCATTAGCCTCAGCGCCAATTCTATTCAGAGTAAAAGAACATTAATATTCTAATCACACGGTGCAAATATCAACACTCAATGGACACAACAAATCAAAAATTCACAACACAACATGGATGACTTATTCCAGAAACAGCCTACACAGCAGCTGCTGAGCCATATCACTCATGTGTAGGGATGGGTACCGGTATCGTTTCTGACATAAACGGTAGTAACCAGACCGAAAAGCAGCGCACATTTCGGTGCTTTTTTTCCCTGAGATGTCACACACTTTGGATTCCAGCCAATCATTTTACCTTTGCAAGCGGGACCAGGTACGTACGTTCTTTTAGAGCAGAGCTACAGATTAAAAATGCCCAAAGCGAAGCAGTCAAAGTCTGGCTGTACTTCACAGCAAAAGATGCAAACTCAGCAGCAACAAGTGCTTTAAGCTGATACTGTGATACTGTCAAAGGAGGTAACACCTCGAATCTGATGAAACACCTGGCGACGTATAGCATTTTGTTAAAAGCCAAGAAATGCGCCGTATTTGATAGCTTGCTGCGAGACCTCACACTGAGCACATCTACTGCGCGTGTGCTGCCTGTTATCGGACCACACGCACAAGAGGCGAGTCCTGGCCCCTAGCTCTGCCAGTATAGCAGAAATGATGAGGATGATGATGCAGCAGCAGCCGTTCTTCTCTGCGTGAGGAGCTTAATGTTGTTCGTGTGTAATTCACGTTGAGTAGGCTAACCACGTTATTACATTAATGCATGTAAGGTGAACTAGCAAACACCGTCGTAGTTACATGCAGCTGTCTTCTTGTTTGATGGCAGATACTCCCTTCACCCTGGCCAAAAAGGCTAAAATGACCAAAGGAAAAGTGGAAAACAGCTAAACATGAGAGGTTTAGGACAAAGTTTGTGTTTTTTCCATTGTTTAAGCACTGCTTCCAGCCAAGAGTGATGCCATAAATCCCCTATAGTTGCAGAAAAGGCTAACATTGTTATCTTTTTACAAAAAAACCTGTACATGAGAGGTTTTTGGAAAAAGTGTGTGTTGTCCATTCTTTAACCACCGGTTTGAGCACCGTTTAAGCACCGGCACGGTTTCAAAAGTACCGGTTTGGCACCGGTATCGGATAAAACCTAAACGACACCCATCCCTACTCATGTGCTAATAGGCTGTAAGTCTGCAGGGTTTTTTAACTCACAGCATCCGAAAAAGTGAAAATCTGTAATAACATCAACATGTGGATAAGTGAATAAGAGGGTTTAACCTCTGAGGGCCATGCATGTGTATACAGTGTGAACTGGCAGTGTGTTGTGGTCCAGTCAACAGTGATCTGAGCTGTTACAGAATAACACACAACACTGAACTACGATATTACGATACACATCTTTGTTTGTGTCCGAGTGTCAAGTCACCACATACCATCAGAACATGGACCAGATTTCCAGTGATGGAGTTCCACACTTTCAACGTCAGATTGTTGGCAGCCGTTATCACTGTGCTGTCATGGCGATCCCATGCCACCATGGTAACCTTCAGCTTGGTCACCTTGTCTTCCAGCGGCGGAGGGTTGTACTTCCTGAGGGGGAGAGCAGTGATGCCGTTCAGGACTAACTGAGGTCTTTCTAGTTTAGTTTACACAAAAAAATCAGACACAGAGTCGTTGCCAAAGGTATTAGCAGCAGCATCACTCCAAAATTCTAATTTTTATTTATTTCCAATAAAAGTTCATCTTCACCATATCACAGAAACATGGAAGAAATCATCTAAATAAAAACTGAGCAGCATACTGCATGAAAAACAAACTCTGTGCTACTGCCAAATGTTTTGGCCATGACTGTGTATCAAATATGAAAATACTGTAAAAACAAAACAAAAAAAGTAGACGCAACAAAAAATTAAACGCATCTTTTTCTAACTACATTAGTTATAAGTTTAAAAAACTCCAGTGTCCTTTCCTTTTGAGGAATGTATTCTATTTTCCTCAGTCCCTTTTTACACCGTTAATGAGGAGCCAGACCAATCTGACAGTTAGACCTTATCTTTCTGCAGCTTCAGATAATTATTCACAACCCCAGCTGTTCCTGTTTACATAAGAAAGATGTGAAAATCAACACATCCAAAACATCCCAATACTTTTTGCTGCAACTCCCTGACCCAGACTTTCTTTATTTTACAGACCAATTGTAGGAGCAATGGTTATAGATTTAACTCTATTAAATACTTCAAGTAACTTCTTGTATTATCCAAGTTGCGGGCATTTAGGACTTTTTTTAGGTTTTGTTTTAGTTGACCTCATTGCTGCATTAGGTTTGTTACGTTTGTTCAGGCAACAAAGACATAAACAGTCTGTCAGTGTACTCTACTCATGCACCGTCTGGGAATAAATCTATACTCTGTCTAGGAGCAGTCGGGTAATCAATCACCATGTCACACTTTATCCCACAGGTGTGAAAGAGATTTTTCTTTAACTTAACGATGCAGCTTCTCTATATTATGCAGTAGGTCATTGTACTTTAAATACATAAAAGCACGTGTAAAACACTTCAAAACTCTGCATTTTTCATGAGAAGAATTCATCACACACTGTAGCGTTCAATGCAGGTGATTGATTATTTTAAAATGTAAACTGACATCATCACCTCCAGGATGATCCCAGCTCACAAGGTCTTTATTCCAAGCACAAAAGCACTAATGGGAAGGCCAGGCCTTGACGGCAGTGCAGAGACACATACCCGGGTAATTTGGTCTGCATGTCCAGCAGAACGCTCTTCCAGCCCTGAGGGTGAAGCTGCCAGATCCGAGCTGTACCGTCCCTGCTGCCGCTCACAAACCTGCAACACAAGCGCGCGCACACATTTATGTGAATGAAAATATAACACTTACTTTGAGATCAGCTTCCTGCAGTAAAATGGTTCCCTCCGTCTCCACACATCAACAGTAAATACATGCACCCCCGGATCTCCACCTCTACCACCCTGGCTCTTTGCATACACCGTCTACACCTTCCTCCCTGCTTAGATTACAGCAACCCAGGGGAATTACAGCTGAGCTTGTTTTTCTGCACTCCGTCTAGTTTAATATGTCGCGCACAAGCACAAGTGTGTGTCTGAATGTGTGTTTGTGAGAGAGAGACACACACAAAGAGTGTGTGTTAGACATTAAGCAAAGCTGCTGACATCATCAAGTTATATCACAGCACCGCGAGGTTCACAACGCAACAGTGGTGCAGAAAAATTAACTGCAATAACTATGTACCTCACGCACACACGTATAGAAATGCAATCTGCGTAAACTCACCTGTCACTGCAATGTGAAAACTGGATGCTGTCAACTTTGTCCTAAGTGGGAAAATATGAGAGAGAAACGTCAGCGCAAGCCTATTTCTTATTTAGTTAGCGTTAAACTGTATTTTCAGCAAATTAAAAAATGTCAAATAACTCGTTCATCTCAGACATTTTCAATTACAATTCCACGTTTCATTGACAAGAACAATATTTGTGACAAATCATTTCAAATCCACCTTTAAGGTTGACTACTATAAGAGCAGCTTTGTATTTTTCACATTTCCAAATAGATATTCCAATTTTTTATTTATCCTCTCAATTTCTCCTCTTTGGCTCTCTTCACAAACTGAAGGTCTGAACAGCAGCTGGTGCTCATGATCAGAGCAGTATGTCTGGAATAACTATATCCACTCTTGCTGAGATCATACACAGGCAAGAGTGGAAAAAACTGTCTGAAAATGAGCACTGTTTGTGCACATGTATCTGTTATTTGAAGCATCTGTGGTTAGAAGAGTGTATACAGGACAGAAAATAAGGAAGACTATTATAGGTCTGCTTCAGATGTTCCTGAGGAGGTTGATATATGGCTGAAAACTTCAGAAGCCAGCATGTTTTTTTGCTTTTATTGTTAAAATAAATCAAATTGAAAAATCAAGAGGAGCTTTCACTGAAAAAAATAAAACTATATCACAAACAGTAAGAAAACTATAGCTATAGATCAACAGCTACAGATTTGATCATTTTTAGTAATATTCTCAGAAAACTAGCTGAAATCTTAAACTTGTTCAATAAGCCAGCACAGTGCGCTTGGATTAAAGCTGTTTTTGTAGTAACTAAATAATAAATAAATAAATACGCTGACTCACCGTATGGGACTCAAGCTCAGAGATCTTTTCTGGTTGGCCTGAGCCAAAGTAGTATACCCTGATGATGTGGTCTGTGCTTCCTGTGGCGAGGAACATACCACCTGGATGCATATATTTTTAATAGAAAGAAAGAAAAAAGATTAGGGCAATATTTGTTTCACATTCACTGGTTTACCTCGGGGACATTGGTATACATTAACTATTTGCAAATGTGCGTGCTTTTGCAAACCAGTAATTTTTCTAACCCTTAAAATAGAAATACCCACAAAAAACAGACCACAGTCATTCCACATTTACTGATAAGGAGCAGCAGCCACACAAGTGGTGACGCACAACGTGTGCTGTTCTCCAGTTAGTCTGAGTGAGCATCTTGTTCTGTTTCTCTGTCAGTGCTCTGGAAGCATGCATAAAAAAACCACAGCGAGCTGCGTTCACCTGCGCTGAAGGAGGAGCAGATCATCTGGACGCCGGGTCGAGAGCGCTCTGTGAATTTACTGGGCCTCTGACTGGACACACACAAACACACACATGAGAACAAAATCGTTTATAACACAATTTAACACAAAGAACCACCACCTTGTGTTTTTAATAGAAAATGTTTTACATTTTGGCGTCTTGGCTGAGTTTGGCGTGCTTTACATACTGCACCTAAACATTTCTAAAACTGGCCAGTTGGCCATTAAATACAGAGACAATTATAAATTCATGTGTACTTAAGATCAATACAATCAAACTTTTACACAAATAAGCCTCTTTCAGACATGCACTCCTTTCCATTCATCAAAATTTATCAACTTCATGTCTCTTTTTAAAAAACAAAAAGACCGTGTGCGACCGAGTAATTATTTCAGTGCAACACATGCCTAAACTGCAAGCAGTCGAATTTACGTAATAAGATTACACCGCACTGACTTCCAAAGGCGTGCACGGGTTTCTAGCCAGTATATAGAGACCCATTAATGAAGCACAGGCTCTCTGCATCGAGTAGCAGAGACAATATGGGGACAAGGTTCACAGAGAGGTAATATGAGCGTCAGGAACAAGCCAGTGCAGGTAACAATGAGGAAGAAGATGCAGGAAGCTCAGGTCAACTTCTAAAAATAAAAATAAGTCTTTTTACTCCACTGAAAACTGCGTGTCATCTCGTGCCAAATATCGCATCCAAACCATGGCTTTCTACAATTCACTGAATGAGGCCGTGAGGAGCATGAGCTCAAAAAGTGACCTTTATCTGAATGACAGAACGCTGTCACTTACAGATTGATGAGGACAACTGTGTTACGTATGCCGTGTCTGAAAAGGAGCTGCGATGACCTGCTGACAAAATGCTTGATGCACAAAGTGTGAGAAATGTTTGTGCAGGTGAGACCGTGTGTTTTTCTCACCCAAACTTGAGTGTCCGTGCATCCCACTGCCAGAAGCAGATGGTGCCATCAGCTCCGGTGGAGGACAGGTAGCGCTTGGAGCCGCTACAGAGAGGAGAAAACTGCAAACACAACCAATCAGAGGTTAGCGGAATGAAACAGAGGACAAAGACACACACAAACACAGTCGCTCTCACTGGGCACTTCATTAAGTATACCTGTTTGTCTGCTTTTTAAAGCAAATATGGAATCAGCCAATCGCATTGACAGGCTACAGCAGCAGAAAGACTACATGAGTGCCACTCCTGTCAGCTACGAACAGCAAACTGAAGCTACAATTCTCATGGGTTCACCAAAACTGGAAGAATATTGCCGGGTCTGATGAGCATCAATTTCTGATGAGCATCAATTTCTGCTGTAACAACCAGATGCTGGGTCAGAATTTGAAGTCAACACATATTCTGATGGCTGCTTTCAGCAGGACGATGACACAAAGCTCCAATCATCTCAAAGTGGTTTCTTTAACATCTCGGTGAGTTCACTGCCCTCAAGTCAGCCTCCACAGTTACCAGATCTCAATCCAGCAGAGCACCTTTAGGATGTGATTTTTAATACAATGCATGTGCAACAAATCTGCAGCAGCTGTGTGATGGTATCACATCAATATGGACCAAAATCTGTGAGGGATGCTTCCAGCATATTGTTGAATCTCTGCCATGAAGATTAAAAGCAGTTATAAAGGCAAAAGAGCGTCCAGCCAGGAGCTGATAAGGGTGACTAACAAAGCGTCCAGTAAACTGAAAGCAGTTGCACAGATAAAACTTGACACAAGTTAAACTGTGTGCTGTAAACATAAAAACATTTATATAGATATATATTGCCTGTTAAGTAAAAACCTAGCTTTCTACAGTAAAATGCAGTTGCAGTTTGTGGTGGCTTCTCCCAGTCTGTAAAGAATATGAAATAAAAACAGCTTTAAAACAATACCTGCAGTGAGGTGATGGATGCTGCGTGTCCCTCCAGGACAGCCAGAGGAGCGCAGGTTTGTAAGCACCACACTCTAATGGTCTTGTCACAGGAGCCGGCGGCAATCATGGTGTTCTCATAGCTGACGGCCATGTCGGAAATCTCGGCAGCGTGGCCGCGCAGGGTTGCCAGCAGACGCCCATCATCTGTTCCCCAGATCTTCACGAGACAGTCATCTGAGCCCTGGGACAGAAAGAAAACACCATCGCACATGAGTGAAGATTCACATTTGTGATCAGCGCATCTGCTTCTGGGAAGACAAATTAAAAATGTGAAGTTGAAGAAGATTTCCAAAATCTATCTGGGCACGCTGCAGAGCAGGACTCTCAGCAAATTGGCAAATGTGGAATACAAACAGAGGAGGGAAAGAGACTCTTGAAATGTAAAAATAGATTAATGATTAATTTGCTTTTTGACAAAAAAGCTACAATGAACATCTCAAGGCACTGACGGTGCATTTGCATGCACTGTAACCAGCTTATTCCTAACCGGTAAAGAGAAAAAGACTGCAGCTGGCATGTAAACACATTCCCTGGCTAATGTTATCAATGCAAAACAACAGTGAGCACTGCCAAATGAACACGCACACTGTTACTGTGGTCGGAGAATATCTTAGGCTGATTACATTTGACTCAGTAGACTGAGACTGGATGTGATGACACAGAGTTGGTTTTACACACATGAGAACTCGACTGTTAGAACGGAGGCACAGAAAATAGATCAGGCAGGAACCAACTCATCTCCTCTTACTTTGTAACAGTTTTGTAGCAAAGTAGAAGCAAATAATAATTCTATTAATATTTATAAATAGTTACCAAAAAAAAAGCTTTGTTAGTGAAGCATTTACAAGAATTGTTAGCTCAGATTCTCCTTAAACACTCATAAGTCTGCAATCAAAGTGCACGATCGAGTCTTCAATCGTGAAACCGCCTTTGGGGCGAGTGCCTGACTGCGATCCAACTCACTGACGGTTAAAATGCTCGTGATTCAACATGTTGCCAGATCCATCTGTTTTTTGGTTAAGAGCTCAAAATGATTTAAGTAACAGGTAACCGCGATGAAGACGCGAAAGACACACAAACACAAATCCACTTGTTTTAAAAAGCCAGCGATTTCAGGATGTAACGCTTCATAAAATTAAACTTCTTCGCTTTAAAACAAGAATTTTTGTCACGCTGAGGGTCAGACACTGTTAATGACGGTGTTTCATTTTATGTGCTCCAGCATGCACCTGAAACCTTTTTTTTAAAAAATCATAACGCTTTATAAAATAACTAACACAGTGCTGTATGTTAAGTATCAGCTGACGTGTTGGTTGCCCCGAAAGCCTTGACCTTTTATAACTACAAAGCATTTTGGGAGACCTGCCACGCCGTCTGCACCACCATAGATTTAAGAGCAAAGTGCAATCCTCCCTGTTTCCTCACAACTACAGATAAGATTTTAACCACAGTCACAACCAGCACAAACCAACTGCTCTCGATTTGTCTTTTCAAGCGACCACAAGAATTGGCTGTTTTTAAAATTATGTTATGCAAATCGATATAACTGACTGCAAAGCTGTTGTTGGACCAAACTTGCGTGCACTTGTTCACCGAACACAACGATCCCCGCGAATCTTTAGGGCGCACAAAATAATCAATTAATATGCCTGAAACAGCATAAGAGCCTGAGCAAAAGGACTGAAGAGATCTAAAAATAAGAACATATATAAATAAAAATGATCTCGTGATAAAAGGAGGGGAAAAGTAGCAGAGAGAGAGAGGGGGGGGAAAAGGGAGAGAAAGTGAGGGAGAGCAAGAATGAATTTTAATTCTGGCACTTAGCCAGCGCCTCAGAGGAAACATTTTCTCCAGTTATGATGAGAAATAGCAAGATGAAGAGTGGGGGGGAGGGAGGAAGAGAAAGGAACAAAGGAGGGGCAGCATAGCATGAGGATGGGGGGAGAGAAAGAGAGAGAAAGAGAGATAACAGGAAAAAAGACACAGAGACACTCAATCTAACCCCCTCCTCCTCCTCCTCCTCCTCCTCCTCTCAGCAGCCAGCCATTTTTAGAGATTTAAGAAGTGAAAGCTGAAAATGGTGTAGAACAGCAGGCAGTGTTTGACTCAAGATTCCAAACAGAAGGACGGCGACATTAAATCAACACTGTCTCATTGTTCCTTCACCATTTAACACGTTACCAGAAGCTGTACCTCTCTCAAACTAGGTGGAAAAGGCATGCGGCAAATGTATACAACGGGCACCCAGGGGGCAAAGGTCAGCTTACTTCTTTTGAGATAAATGCTTTCACTTCATTACCCGTGATTATTATCATCGCACAGCTGTCTGAGTTTTTCCCGACGTATAACCCAACAGGTTATAGCTGTGAGTCACTGAGTAAAAGCGTCCTACCACAGTTAGGTAAACAGTAATTACCGCCTAGCAGAACCGTTACAGCATGAAACGCAGATGCTTGTGCATCTTGGTGAGCGAGCGGCACCTTGTAACAATCTAACACAGAATGCGAGACGTGACTCTAAACAAACACAGAGCCGCCGCAATCGAGCAGCAGCCACAAGAAATTAGACTCGAACAGGCTCTCGTTCACAAGCTAATGCCAACGCAACGTCGAACAAAAACGCGCGTGGGAAAACTTACGGTGAAGATGCGTCGCCCCGTCCTGTCGAAGGTCACGCAGTACACGGACGACAAGTGTCCCAGGATCCTCTTGTGCATCTTCATGTGTGTGTACACGGCCGTGGGCACCAGCTGACGGAGACGGTAGGCGCCATTCAGTCGACGGCAGAAGCTCGTCTCCACTGGATGTCAAGAAAAACATGCACGTTAGTACGGAAAGACACGACTGTACAGAATGTACAGATGTAAACGTCACTAAATATACATTAAATTGACAAAAGTCTCCACTCGTCTGCTTTCCCATGCACACTCCAATCTTAACGCAGTTTGGTACCATAACCTCTTCTTTCCACAAGGTTTAGGAGTTTGTTTATGGGAATTTTTGAGCGTTCTTCCAGAAGCACCTTTGTGAGGTTAGGCGCTGATGTTGGATGAGAAGGCCGGGCTCGGATTCTCTGCTCTGATTCATCCCAAAGGTGTTTTATTAGGTTGAGGTCAGGACTCTGTGCAGGCCAGTCAAGTTCTCTTCCACACCACACTCGATCTTCCATGTCTTTATGGACCTTGCTTTGTGCAATGGTGCGCAATCATGTTGGAACAAAAAGAGGCCATCCCAAAAGTTTTCCCCCAAAGTTACGAGCATAAAATTGTCCAAAACGTTTTGATATCCTGAAGCATTAAGAGTTCCTTTCACTGGAACTAAGGGGCTCCCTCAAACCCCTCAAAAACAATAATCCTGCCTCCGCCAAACTTTATACTTTATACTTGGCACAAAGTAAACCCAAACGCCAAACCCAGACTCGTCCATTGGACTCGTCCACAGAACACGACTCTGTTCCTCTAGAGTGCAGTGGCGCCGTGCTTTACACAACTGCATCCGACACTTTGCATTGCGCTTGGCGGTGTAAGACTTGGATGCGGCTACTTTCATGATGCATAACCGTTTCCATCAAGCTCTCTACACACTGTTCTTCTGCTAATCTGAAGGACACAAGTTTTTACAATAGAGCATAAGAATGCTGAAATATTTTAAAGTGAATTATTAAAAAAAAAGACCTCCATCTTTTCACTCTTGGACTTATTAAGATTGGCTTTGTATGATTCACCATTCAAAATAATCCTCATTTATCTTATTTATCCTCCGCAGCACAACCCTCTTCTGATTGGCTGTCCCTGACACACAGTAGGTTTGAATGTAGATGAGTAAGGCTCCTCTGCGCTGTATCTGATGCCGGTGGTATAGTTGCTGCATCTGCTAGTTTATAGAGGGTCACGTTTCATGAGATGCTCTGTAGAGAAGTGTCCATGTGACCTGCAGTTTTTTGCAACCAGTGTGCCAAAATTCGCATGAATGCTTCAGATGGATTCCAAGAGGACTTGGGGAAAAAATAGAACAGGAAGGACTACTCATCCATGGTGTCCACAGCTGTCCATGTGCATCTCCACAAGCAAGTATAATCCTGGACTGAGATGGTCGTACTGAGCACATCCACTCTCACTGACACTGACATCAGATCCAGGAGTTAAAAAAAACTGTCAAAACAGCGCTCTTATACACGTCTGGAGCCGGAGCTTTTGGATTATTTGTAGATGCATCCCCCTGATTTTTGGAAACTTTTGCCATGTTTATTAAGCGCGAGGTGGAGCACAACAAGTCCACAAGTCTGTGTGCAAACATACAGACTTCTTTAGGCAAATCAATAGTTGGCCCAGTCATTTTGGCCCACTTTACCAAAATGACTGTTTTCCTTACCAATATTCGGCGGGCTCCCGTAGATAACAGGTGGCTCCGGTGGACGTCCACAGTGCAGCGCAGCCAGCGCTGAGCCTTTCCACACAACATGTTTGCAACCTGGAATTTACACACAGCACAGATGCATAAGCACATGCACAGCTATAGTTAAGTGTGTGTTGTGCATGTTGATCTGGATGTATGCAGTCATATTTGCATAACCACGCAAATGTATACATTCACTCCATGTCTTGGTAAGTCAGCACTTACACGCAGGAAGACACAGGCATTGAGCGAGTGGGTGTTTTTGCACGTGTGTATATTTAAGTATGCAAATGCACTGCACGTGAACTCACTCTTAGCGGTGCGGAGAAGATTCTGTCTGCCAGCTCCTAGAAGGCTGGTGAGTCCAGGCACACTGGCAGGGACCTCCCTCTCCAGCAGCGGACAAACTCTGGTGCAGACCTGCAGCAGGTGGTCTGGCGTGATGTGCCTGTAGAGCTTTACCTGAACGCAAGCATACACTCAGATTAAATCTGTCTTCAGGCTGGTAAATGACCACAAAAAACAACTACTGCTAGTGGGGGGAGGGTGGTAGAGTTTAAAAAAAGATAAAAAGGAAGCTGAGAGAAATGTGCTCAAAGAGCTTTCCTGCCAAAAGCTGCTGTGTCAAGACATCAAACCCCCACCAGCTGGATGATTTCTGCTGCTCGAACCCGACGACAGTGGTGTGAAAAAGAAAACGTCTCAGTGGAGGTACAAATGGGTTCCACATTACTACGCCAATTTTCACACACAAAAATCTACAAATCTATCGGACACATCAGGGGGTGAAAACATGTCAGAAGGCAAACGGTGGCTGCAAAGTAAAGGGAAATTGAAACTTTAATTTCAAATTCAAGTATTTCCAGCAAACAGAAACACTGAAAAATCCAGGCCACTTCCACAAATGTGGATGCAAGTAAAGGCCCCTCTGCTCTCTGAGTGTGTCAGAGGAAATCACACTAAACCGATAACAGATAAACTAACAGATAAGATCCTCCTTCTTTTTTAACAAACTGCAGAAATAAAAATACAACCGGACACGTATTTATACACTAAAATGAAAAAGATGAAGGTTTTTAAATGGTGCGGCTCCCAGCAGCATACGCACTACAACAGTGTGGTGGGATGGAGGGGGTGTGGCATGCAACATAAGGATGAAGCACACAGAAACCTACGCTGTTATAAACACACAGCCTCTCTGATTCCACTGACACATGGGGACCCTCCTGCGTGGCCTACTTCTAAAGAAACATGCACGCCTGAATGAGTGGAATGGCACGCACGATACAGCCGGGATGAAAGCGAGACACGGAGGGGAATAATGCAGCATGCAGCAGTGTGTTTACTTGGAGCAAGCCAGATCGGTTTAAATGTATTCACTCAAATCAGACGTGCAGTCATCGGCTTTGTTTCAGACACGTAAGCCTGAAATTAAACAATTATTCCACTCAGTCACACACACACACACACACACACATACACTTTTTCCATTCCTTTATCTGTCTCTGTGACACACACACATACACACACAATTAATGACCCCTTAATTGCTTTCAACATCCTTGCTGGTTCACAGACGTGATCAGTGTTTCTAAGTACATATCAGCCCCTCTTAGGTACACGCAGACCCACAACTGACACACACACACTAAACTAAGTGATGTGCAATAACAATTTGCTCCATTTTCCTTCCTTCTGAAGGGTAATGGATAACACTCCCCCAGCCACGGCTGCACCATCACAAAGCACATGGCCCCACACCACTACAAGTTACCCTCTATATAATCATTATTAGTATTGCTATTATTCTTATTATTATTACCATCCTGATTTCCATTCATAGCCCTACAAACATCTTTCACCTCAAGCATCACTGCCTCTGACATAGATTTGCATTCATTAAAGTGTATTATTACTGACAATTAATCCGTTAATAAATGAGTCTAAACACATTTGTGCTGATAACGATGCAGGCTTGCACTTCCACTCAAAAACACGGCCGTATTTCATTGCGCTTCGTCTTCCTGATCAGTTTGAAATGCGACACGAAAGCAATCGAACATCTAATGAATCCGCCTTCGTTAATTAGCCGCAATTAATATCGTTAATTATTACAATATCATTGTTGAGTCCTCATTGATGCCCAACCCCCTTCTTTAACAGCGTCCCCCCCC